CCCGTCTGATTGGGCAGCAGGTCGGGACTGTGTGCTGCCCCCCGCCTGTACTGCGGGGCTGGGTGGCACTGGGAGTGAGTGGGCGCTTGAGCACAGGGCCTGAACCGGTGTCCCAGGGCCAATGCCAGTAGGGCGGCAGGAGTACAGGGTCCCGGCCAGCAGAGGCTCTATGGAGCTGGACCAGCTCCCCCCTCTCCCTGCTGGTGCAGCCCAGCCTGGCTCCAGAGATCCCTTCCCAGTCTGTGCCCTGCTCTGGGCCCCACCAGTGCTGGCCTGGGACATTGGTCCCAAGACATTGGAACATTGGTCCCAAGATGGTGACCAGGGGGCAGAGCACCTGTCAAGGGGTGGGGCTACCCACGTGGCCCTCAACAGCTTACCAAAACTGTGTAAGCAGCCCTCTGCCCAAAATAATTGCCCACCCCTGTTCTAGATTGTTGTGCTCTTACCATGCATTTGTTTTTACCCTGTTATTCTTTATGGATCTTTCAATGTATTTTTCCTGAATGTCAGAGGGATCACAGTGCGTCTTCCTTTAAGGAGCAGATCATCAATATGGGGAGGTCATTTCTGTCCTGCCAGTATGGTTGTAGGTCTTTTGGAAGTCGCATCCTGTGGCCTCATCCATTTTGACAGAAATGAACTAGTTTCTGGCAGGCATCATCCTGTTGTTGCTTGCTTCTAATTTGCTCAAGTCTAGTAGGAGATGCTGGCAATGGTGTCAGAACTATATATATAGTCTGTATATATGGGGGGGGGGGGGGGGGGGGGGGGGGGGGGGGGGCAATTAACCCCTTGCAGGCTGGATGTATGTGTATATGTATATATATATGATCTTTTCACAAAGTTATTTCTTCTTCTGCTGGTGGCTGCCTAACTGGTCCTCTGAACAGAGTGTCTGCTGCTATGAGCAGTTTCCCTGATATGTGTTCATTAGTCGCAGAAAATTGCATTAGTCATAGCCAAAATCTATTAATTCTGGGTGGAAGGTCATCCAAGGTTTTGGATCCCAGTAATAATACTATGGGTTTGTGAACTGTTTCTATTTTAAAATTCAGGCCAAGAAAGTAAGAGCAAAGACATTCACAGACCCAAGTGACTGCCAAAGCTTCTTTTTCCACTTGAGCATAGCATAGTGTTGCTTGGTGTCTATAACACATCTTGGTATAAATGCAATAGGACTCTGGTATCCTACTGGCTGTGTTTGAAGGAGTACTGCTCAAAAATATTTTGAAGACGCATCTGCTGTAACCACCATGGACTAATTTACTATTTTGTCTGGGACTGGTTGAATTCCAATTTTGCTAATGATATGTCCAAAATAATTTATTTACTTCTTCCCAAATTCACATTTTTTATTTAAAGTGAGGCCAGATTATTAAAAATGTTCCAAAACTGCATGTAGATCTTCATCGTGTTCCTGTTTATTTTTGCCATCTACCAATATATCTGCATGGCAAAGGATGCCAGGAAGCCCAGTCACAATCTGAGAGTTTCATTGTTGGAAATGCTCTGGTGCTGACAATATGCCATAAGGAAGCCACTTGAAACAATATCTCCCGAACAGGTTAATGAATGTAATTAATAGGCTTGATTCTTTACCAAGAGGGATCTACCAAAACCCAAATGTAGCATCTAATTTTGAAAATACTTTAGCCTCTGACAACTGAGCCAATATCTGTTCTACTGCAGAAAGCATATGTCTCTTTCTGCATATATTTTTGTTGAGTAAAGTCCATACAAATTCGAATTTTTCCATTGGATTTCTATACTACAACTGTTCTTGCAAACCAGTCTGTGAATTCATCTATGTGGGAAATAACCCCATTGCTTCCATCCTCTTTCATTCTTCCTTGACTTTCTGTTGCAAAGGAATGTGGATGCACTGAGGAGCTGTTAGAACAAATGGACTTGGTAATGCACCAATTTAATCTTATATTCCCTTGACAGTTTTCCCAACTTTATGACGAATGCATCTTTTGTGAGGAATACATCTCTTGTATGGTTTGTGTTTTGCTATCAACTGAGTCCAGTCCTATTTATTGCTGTCAATACCAATAAGGAAACTGTTAATACTTGTATCATATAAAGAGGTTGTGACATTTTTTTCCTTTTTTTTCCACTTGAACTGGCCACACACTTCTAATTACTTGCCCCTCTGAAAATTTTATCTGACGTGTGCAGATATCAATCCTGGGATGGATCTTAATCTTTTGAAGGGATGGCACTAACTGCAGCTCTGGTGTCCATTTTAAATTTAATGATTTGACCATAGAAATCTATATTACTGTACCAAACTGTTGATTCTTCTATTAAGAATGTATTTCCTAGTAGCATAGGCTCATTGTCATATGATACCATTCTCCCTTTCCCCACCCCCTGAATTATTTCCACTAGCTTGGATGATCTTCACTCTCTTACAAAATGTCATTTCTTGTAGCATTTCTTATGTTCTGTACAGTATAACCTCATAAATCTGGATATCAAAAATCCAGCACTTGCCCCTGCCACTCTGGAACCCGTTGCTGCTGCCTCCTGGACATGGAGGAGGAAGCTTGCATGCAGCGGCTGCCGTTGCCATTCACCACCCCGCATCGCTGCTCCATGTGCAGCCGCTGCTCCGGGACATTTTATCTGGTATTCCTGCATTTTTTCTGATAAGCCTGAAACTATAGGGAAGTGCTCAAGCCTTCTGATCTATCGAGGTCAGCTGCCTGCATTCTCAGCATCAGATTTCTCTAAGACAGCTATCTGTGTTATGGCCTCCATAGCTACACAAGCTCCCAAGCAGCCTGTTTCCTCCCTGCTGCAGTGCACACAATCTCTCCCTAGGGACAGGCATTCCAAAAGCCTGATCCTGAATTGATTCAGTCTTTTCAGGTTAGTCTAACCTGCAAAGCTTGAACGGCTTTGGAGGTAGATAGACATTCCCTTTTTCATTCCAGAAATGCAGGCACATGCCTGTAATGGCTCAGGCTAGAAGCTGGGGGGGGGGGGGGGAGGGATGCTAAATCAGCCCTCCCTTCCCTTCCATAGTGCTGAGCTGATGTGGGGTGTGGCCAGGCCCTGAATGCTTTGGTTAGGAAGGGGTTCCCCCACTCGCTGGTCAGCAAGGGAACCAACAGGGATTTACACAGCATTGAGTTACACAACAGGGAGTTACACAGGGAGCATTTATCACTCCATCAACAAAACAAAAGGATCTCTCATTAGTTCAAGTTCTTCTTAAACAACTGTTTCCAAAGAAGGAATGGAGAGACATTACCAGCTATCTGTTGATTTGCTCCAAAAAGCCCTAAGCTGACACAGTCCTGTCTGCCTTTGTCCCTTCTCCCACAGCACGGACCATAGCCAGCATGTGGTATGCGAGCTAATGCTGAGAGGTGTCTGTATAAGGCAGAGGGGAGGGGGAAATCCCTGCTTGAGCGGGAGTGGTGAGGGGGTAGGAGGAGGCAGGAGGAAGCCGGGCAGACCCCACTATACATGCAGTCTCTGCTGGAGCTGCTGCCAGGGAGCAAAGGAGAGGGGCCAGCCCAGCTCTCTGGAGCAGAGAGCCCCACTCAGCCCAGAAAGCATGCCAGGATGCTGGGGGACTCTGATTTTATGTAAACCAGGAAGAGTCTGGGGCAGACATTGCATAAACTGGTTTGACCCAAATCAGTTAAGTCTCACATTCAGCCAGGTTCATCTTGAACTGGTTACAGCCATTTTCAAACTGGTTTATGTGCATTGAACATTTGTTCTGTTACAGGTTTAAACCAGTTTCTGATCACTTAAACTGGTTTATGTATAATGTCTGTCCCTAGCCCCTGACTCTGTCCTTGCTTTGGCAGTTTAGGTGCTCCTCTTTCTCTTTTCTTCCACAGGCCCACTTTTAACATGATATGGTACGAGTGAAACACACACATGCAGTTATTTTATATGTTGTAATCTGCCTCTCCTCCAGAACTGTATACTCTTTATTCTCCCCCTCATATCGGCCTCTAATTGGCTCAAGTAGGTTTGGAGAACCAGGGCTCTCTAATTACTCTAACACCTTCACATGCCTCTTTGTAATGTTGTGATACACGTTGTAAGTCATCTTGAGCATATTTATTCCTTTATAAGGCAGTAATGCAATCTTTTTAGAAGCAACCTTCAACAAACTGTTTGCTTTATATCAATTATAGAAATCCTTTAAAATTAAAATAGTTGTATATTGCATTTTTGTAAGATAGTTCTGTTCAGATGATTTTCCACCTGCTGAATTTGAAAGACATGTTTGCTATGGTCAGCACTTACTAGCAGAGAGCTGGCCAGTGAGCCAGCCCTCACTGCTCCAGCTAGGGAGAAAATGAGCGGGGCCAGCCCTGCTCTTTGGAGCAGCCAGCCCAGCCCAGGGCTGGGCTGCAAAATGCTGGGATGCTGGGGGATGATGATTTAACTTGAAGCAGGAAGAGGTCCAGTACAGAAGCTTTGTAAACCAGTTTGACCCAGATCAGTTAAGTCAGATACTACATTCAGGTTTATTCTAAACCAGTTTCAGCCATTTTGAAACTGGTTTGTGTGCGTTGGACTTCTCTTCTCTTACAAGTTTAAACCATTTTCTGATCACTTAAACTGGTTTGTGTGTAACTTCTGTCCTTAGCCCTGGTGTCAGCATTATGGCAGTCCTGGCTCTCAGACAGGTCCCCTGACTTTGTGCTTTTATTTATATGCTCCTCAAAGTACCATCCCTAAAAGCAGAGGGATATCCGAATACCTGCTTCCCTGATGGTGAAGCAGTAACATCACTGGGAAGGATGTTACAAGAAATGCCAATGACCGTAGATCAAGTAATCTAAATGCTAGAAAACTAGTTTGGGTGATTGTGTGCTCCAAGGTATCAGATTTTCTGTGCTTGGTAAATACATGGTTTGGGTGATAACTACTTTTATTCTCTGTAGCTGTAAGTATACACAAAGCCCAGGTTGATTTCTTTCAATGCAATTTTTAGCAGAGTATTAAACAATGAAACAGTCTTCTGATGTGCTCTTGTTTGCAGGTCTCCAGACAGTGGGAATATTCAGAGTGGGAAGTTCAAAAAAGAGAGTAAGACAGGTGAGTAAACATTTGATTATTACTTTTCTGGCTTACAGTACAATCAAGCCTAAGAACTTCTAGTGACATAATTTTTTTCCACATAAAAAGTAGGTCTTTTTGTGAGTAACTTTACAATACTTGGATATTATGTACTGGTGGCTCTTAGTAGGCAGTTTACAGTCCTCCTTCTACTTAAGAAAGTACAAAAGAGCTTGGAGATTGCAAGAACTTAACCTAAATCTTGAACTGAAACTGATTTTTTCCAAATTAAAAAATGGGCAAAAAAATATTACTTCCTCACTATGCCTAACATTGCCAGCTTATTCAGGTTTCATACTTTGAAATCTGTATCTTGGCTACCACTCAGTAGCTGAGTCATTTTTGAACTGTGGAAAATCTCAGAGTTTGAGGTACAGAGACAAGTTCTAGATCTAAAATAAAAGTTAGCTAAAACCTATAGCAGGAA